AATTAATTTTACCCAGGGATTTAGCTCAGTGGCACTGCGCCTGCCTCTCAAGCGCAAGTTTGTGAATTCGATCCCCAGTTTAAAAAAAAAAAAAATTAATTTAAAAAACTACTTAAAAGCACTGATTTCTAAACACACTTAAGTATAAGAAATTTGAGGAAATAGCTCTACCTAGTGTTTGGGTTATGATACTGCAATAACGCTATAAGAACTCGTATCAAAGCTTTTCAACAGAAAATAGAAATCATCCCGAGATTTGTTAAAATGTAGATTCTTATTCAGTAGCCACGGAACAAGCACTGACATTCTGCATTGCTAACAAGCTCCCAGGCACACCAAGGATGCCAGTACACTGGCCACACTGAGAGCAGCAGGGCTTTGTTTATATTTGCATAGTGACCTTCAATAAGTTCGTAAGTCTAGTTGCCTATAGAATTAGAAAGTTTTATTGATATGTAAAAATCATTTTAGATGTTAAAAATTCATAAGTCAGCCAGGCACAGGTATATGTCTATAATCTCAACACTCTGGAGGCTGAGGCAGGTGGATCGCAAGTTCAAAGCCCAGCCTGGTGATCATAGCAACTTAGCAGGACTCTGTTTCAAAAAGATTTTTTTAAACAAAATTTTAAGGGTTGAAGATATTAACTCAATGAAAAGATCCTAGACTCAACCACTCCCCTCCAGTACTGAAAAAAAATTGTCAAATCAAACTCATTTTCTCTCTTTCTATAAGGAATTAGTTGAAATAAATGTGCTACATTGAATTAAGTGTTATAAAAAAGAAACCAATTGTTCTAATCAATCAAAACCCTTACTTTTGTAACCACAACAATTAAGAACTTGCCTACTTACTCCTTTGCCCTTGACTTACTTCTCAGATCCACATTTCCATGTTTTATTTCATCTCTCTGGTGACTGGCACAGGCTAAGTTTAGCGGGTGACCAGCCTATTGGTCTGGGGAAAAGAATGTACCAGGGAGAAAAACAAAAAGCAGCTGAGTACTAAGTGACTCATAATTGGCTACAACAGTTGCAGGGAGACTCAGCCTAACTAGTATTTATTCTTCCACATAAAGGAAGAAGTCTTTGTCATCAGGGGCCATTAGGGACTCCCTGAAGCAGCCAATATAATTTTTTCACAAGAATGAATGCCTTTGCTTATTGGACACTGGCTCTGCTCAGCACCTGATGAATGATTTATATGCTTCTCTTTCATGTTCAGCACAACAGCCGTAAGAAAGAGGTACTGTTCCTCCTGCCATTTTGCAGATAAGCCTGCTGAGGCTTGAAGTTTTAACAGCCCTTCAGGGTAAGCTGCCAAGTTAGGACCTGCGCCCAGGACCAGCTCATCCCCAAACTCTTGCTCTAAGCTGCTCTGCCACCATGTTAACACTAGCTTGTAAGTGTACACTTTCTGAGGCTTCTCCCTCTCAAGTAGCTGGTAACTTTCAAATATGTGTGTATAACATGTAGTCTCAAGAGGGCCGGGGATTTAGCTCAGTGGTGCCACCTCCTGCCTCAAAAGCGCAAGGTCCTGAGTTCGATCTCAGGTATTAAAAAAAAAAGCAGTCTCAAGAAGTAAGAGTTTGTTCTATATCCTTAAGATACAGAAATGTAAATTTAGGAAATGGGAATACTGACATCTGAAAAATAAATAATGGAACCCAACTTATAGTGTTTCTGATACAGTCAAGTGAAAAGCAGTGTAAAAGCCATTGCTTCTTTGGGTTTGTCTGCCTTCTTATTTCTTTTGTGGTCACGAGCATTACCAGTGGAGAGCTTGGGTTTGTCATAGGCAGACGTCTAATCCTTTCGGAAAAGAAGATAAAGCAGTGTGGGAGTAGATTACCTACAGTGTTCACCACACTGAATTTTAATAATTTCTTCGCTTGATCCGTTTCCTTCTCCAGGTCTCTGTGCCCTGTATGATAATAATTCTGCCTTTCTAACTGGTGCCTCCAGTGCCTAACATTTTGTCTGGTATGTGAGCACCTCGGGTTTATTGGCTATATAAATTCATAAATAATGAAGTGTCCCAATTAACTAGGACAAAGAGCAAAATGAGATATTCCCTGAGGAATGTTCACTTTTGATCACTGGGTGGCAGCCTTTACTATCTTGGGATGGCTACATTTATTTTTGTGATGAAACTTCTACTTTTCCCTTGAGAAAAAAGGAGGAAGATTTGGAGCTCTTTAACTTGGGAAAAACTCAGAGATTATTGCTCATGACTTGAGGATCCCTCACACTAGTCTGTCAAGGCAGAGGGCAACATTTTGTCCTCAAAACTGCTGCATACAGGTAGCCTGAAGACCACCAGTTAAATGTAAAAAAAGGCAGACAGTTCATTCAGCTAAGCAACATTTGGAAACTATCGGAGCAGAAGTGGGACTGAGTCCCTGCTCAAAGGAGCCTGGTGTGCAGTGGGCCACAGCAGTCACTTCACAGGCAGCAACACTGGACACGCAGCCCAGCCCTGAGGCTGCGCAAAGCTTCCAGACAAGGACCTGCTTTCGTGAAGGTGAAAAGGTAGGACAGCAGCTTCTCCAACTGTAGACAGTATCTAGCAGTCACACTCTCCAGTCAATTCAACAAAATTGCGTGTGGAGATGCAACCTACAATATTTGCAAATGGCAAACAATAGAGAGATGTGTATTCAAATGACTCCCTGACCTGTGCCAGGGACTTACTGTGACTTTGGACAGGAACTGAACTCACCACCAGTATCACCGAGTGACAGCTGCATGGGCTAGGCTGTGGCCTAATTCCCTGCCTGCCATTGAGATAGGATAAGGAAAGAAGGGAAAGGAAAAATTAAGAGAAAAGAAAAAAAATGGAAATGAAATCTATGCAAATAGGGAAGGGTGGAGGGGGTGAAGGGCGCACGGGGAATGGGGAAAAAATAAGAACCAAGATATATGATGTACAGGTACAAGCACCCAATGACAAATGTAAACATAGTGTATACCTAAAATGTACCAATAAAAGAATTGTTTTAAGGGCCGGGGATTTAGCTCAGTGGTTCCGCTGCCTCGCAAGCACAAGGACCCAAGTTCAATCCCCGGTACCATAAAAAAAAAAAAAAAAAAAAGAACTTTTTTAAGAAAAGAAAGGAGACAAGGAAGTTGTAACTTTTAAGCTGTACTTTTAAGAAAACTGCAACTTCAAGACACAAAGGTACCCCAGGTTACAATACTTTTTTCACCCTTTGGCCTGCTTTTCCTTTTCAACCTTCTCACTCCTACTAAATCCCTAAGAGTGTTTTTGTTTTTTTGTGGGTTCTTTTGGACCTTGTGCTTGCCAGGCAGGGGGCAGAACCACTGAGCTAAATCTCTGGCCCTTAAGAGTCTTAAAGAAACATTTGTGCCTGTTCTTTTCTTCCGATACTATAAATTCATAAATTCCATAGACCCAAGGAAGCAGGACTATTAGCTTAGTACCATATCCCTAAACTTCAAATGAATGTAAATAGTTTGCATTCTGACCTAGCCCACTAGTGGACAACCTGACGGACACTAGGAATACACGTCCTAGATCATCCATCTTGAGGACACCCCTGAGACTACACAGATACTCTCATCCCAACCATGGTGTTCTTCATCCTGAAGTGCCCACACTCCTTTCTGAGTATACATTTCTTTGATTCCGCTTAATCAATCTGCTTGTGCATCTCACTGGTGTGTCCTGAAATGCTTTTCTGTGGTGACAAGAGTTGACAAATCTACTGGAGGTTGAGGAGGCAAGCTGAGGTCCCCATCTCCTCTTTGAGGGGACATCCTTGGGCCCTGCCCAGTGACCCTAGATTCCTTGTGCAACACAACAAATTCCTACCTCTTTGTTCTACAAATTCTCTGTCCATAAAATGAAAATAATTATCATGATCCACTTCCAGGGTAGCTCCTTCCTGAGAAATTGTCCTCACTACACATCAGAGAAGAAACAAAAAGATATCCACCTCCCCAGGAACTTAACTGGACCAGAATCACACTTGTGTTTAAAATAAGCCACCATTTGTCATACCTGCTACATACATCATAAATCCCAGGCCTTGAGGCCTGTGAACTTGTATTATAAAATCCCCTTTCAGCGATAACTGATGTTGACATAATATCAGAGGCAAGGAAGAGAAAAAACCATAAATTTCTGCTTGCTAAAAGATGGAATTACAGAGAAAAAAAGCTTTCTCCTATGCACTTTCTACAAGTCCTAAACCTCTTCCTTCACAATGCTTTCTTCCACCAAGCAGAGGTTTATGGCATTTACATGTGGTCAATATTCCTCAAATTAATCTATAAATCCAGTGGAATTTCCTATCAAAATCCAAATTCTTTTATTTTTTTGCTGAAATTGACAAGCCAGTTTTCAAATTTATATGGAAATGAAGGGGTACAAAGGAATAAAAAAAAACTGCCTTGAAAATGAACAAGTTGAAAGTTCTCAATTCAAAGCTTACCACAAAACTACAGTAATCAAGACAGTATGGTGCAGGCATGAAGTCAAACATATACTCAGTGGAATAGAACTGAGAGTCCATAAAACATTCTGGCATTTATAATCAATTGAGTTTTTTACAAGATACCAAAGCATTTGATGGGATCAGAATGTTCTTTTCAAAAAATGATGTTGGTATTGTAGATAGGTCAGTTAATTAGATATTTTGTAGGCAGTTGGACAGGAGCCAACACTGAGAAGGCCAAGAAGGAGAACAATTGAGGCACGTTCACTGGCTGGCATTATAAAAAGAAAAGAGGCACTACTTCCCCGAGAGATGAATAGCAGGGATTGGTATTCTAAATGGGAAATTCCTTGTATGTGACTTGTTTTCCCATTGGATCCCCATTTAATCAATCTTACCCGGGTGACTGTACTTGTCATCTTATTGGTTGGTCATGGTTTTGTCCCACCTCAGGCCTCATGTTGCAATTTTCCACTGGGTCTGATAGGTTTGTCCCATTTTGTACCCGCCTCACCTCATGGGTTTGCCCTATAAAAAACCTTTGAGAAGCAGGGTAGGCCGGCAACCCACTTCCCGGTCCCCCTTCTGTCTCTCTCAAAGAAAAGCTGTCTTTCTCTCAATAAAGTTTTCCTACTCTTAACCTCTGTTGTTCCTAGAATTCGTTCTTTGATTTTAGAGAGCACAAACTTGCGTCTTAGATATCTAGCAGGTTTGGGAGTTGCATCTATTCCCCCTATATCACTGGGATGTTAGGGGCAGATGGAAAAGCCAGCCACAAAAAGACAAATAAGTATAATTTCACTCATATAAGGAATTTAGAGCAGTTAAACTCACAGAAAAAGACAGTAAAGTGATGCTTTCCAAGGCCTGGGGGAGAAAGAAATGGGAAGTTATTCTTTAAAGGGTACAGAATTTCAGTTTTATAAAATGAAAACTCTCTGGAGATCCATTAAGAACAGTATAAACCACTTAATATCACTGAACTGTACAATTAGAAATAACAAAGATGGTTAATTTAAAAATTATTCATTTTTACTAATTTTTCATTTAGTAAAGTAAGGCAATCATCTTGAAGCAATTTTTAAATTGCTACAATTTTTTAAAGTTTTTTTTATTGGTACATTTTAGTTATACAATATAATGACATTCATCATTGGAAATTGGCACCTTTACATAATCTCTCTTGGTCTTTTTCTTTTTTTGACCAGGGATAGACACTTGGTTCTTATTTTTTCCCCATTACCCTGCCCTCCCTTCAACCCCTCCATCCCTCCCTATTTACAAATTCTTGGTTTCCCTTTTTCCTTTTCCTTATATTAATTTCATTCCCTTTCCTTTGCCCTACCCCTCCACTTCCCCTTCCCCTTTGCCCCTTTTCTTCCTATTTCACATTATCTATTATAGCTTTTAGGCCTTATTTACACTTTCAGTTTCTCACAGTAGGGAAACTATTCAGTATTTAGACATGTATGTCCTATTTATTACATGTAAGAGTATCACCTGAATATATATCCATTTAGCCATAAAGATCTCTAATTTCTCATTTTTTATGGCTGAGTAGTACTCCATTTCATTTTAAAAACCACATTTTCAAAAAAAACCACACAAATTTTCTTTATCCACTCTCCAGTTGATGGGCAATTGGGCTACTTCGAAGTTTTAGCTATTACAAACTGTGCAGCTAGGAACATGGGTGCACATATATCACTGTGGTATGATTCTTTAAATTCTTTGGGGAAGATCCCCAGCAGGGGAATAGCAGGGTCAAATGGGACTTCCAGTCCTAGTTCTTTGAGGTATCTCCATACTGATTTCCACAGTG